ACGCCTCAAGGAGTGACAACAGCCACTAGATTATTTTTATCTAATACATTTTTTTATCTCGTCATGCATCGATTTTATTTGTTTATTTGGAAATGGTAAGTATTATTAAAAAATTACAGGAGACAAAAGCTTCTAAATAAAACACAAAATAAAAAAATGATAGAGGTAAGCAAATTCAATCCTCTCCACTTATAAAACAAAAAATATGCAAAAAGTGTGTTTTTATAATAGTATTACTTCCGCAATATTTGATTTCCCTATTTGTTTTTAAGTTTTTTAAGTTTGTTTTGAAACAGTCTCTATACAATTATTGTGAGTATCGTACGATGTTATCTGCGTTTAACCCTACATGTCTAGTTGTGTTTTTTTTGTTATTTATTTACATGCATAATTAGCCAAAATTTTCAATGAATAGCAATCCGAATTGTTTTATTAACATTTACAATTTCTTTGTTTTATTTTATGTAACTTTGATGTTGTTGATTCATTTATTTATTTTATTTTATTTATGTATTGTTTACGGAAAACATTACATTCTCCTAAGCAAGGGTCTGCATCGTACCAGAACAATATATAGATTTATGGAAAATTAAATTAAATTATAGAAAAAACAAAAAAAGAAACAGCGAGTGAGCAGCCGATACAAAAAGAAAAAAACAGGAAAAGAGCTCTCTGCCTAGCTATCACTCCTTCCGCAAAAAGGCTCTAAGCTGACAGAGTTTCGAGTTTACGTATATTTGAAATGATACAAACAGAGCAATTTTCTTGAGAATTTATTTTAAAGTTATTATGATTGTAGGTTAAGTAGAGAGAGAACTTATTGCTCCTTCGTGTTTGAGCAATTGATCTGTCAATGAATATTGTATTAGGAAGCAACAAATATTCTGCCGGTTAGGATATCTGATGAGTGAAATCGGAATAAAAGTTGGCATATGCTAAACTCAAACAATTTGATTCGCATTTTTTTAGAGCAGAATAGGTTTTTTCTGTATTGGACGTTAGAAATATAGGTTTTCCTAGATGTCTAAAGACTCCATGCTGACATACAATTTTTTTTTGCTTTCAACACCCAATTAAATTTGGTTTCAGTAGAATCGAGAAGTTGAATTTGTCGGTTATAACAAATCTTAGGAAGCCGCGTTTTTTCCATTTTGTGAATTTTAATGAGGAAGTTTAGGACTATTTTGAAGGCAATAAGATACTGTTTCGAACCTAACAAAAGCAAAGGCGGTTGAATTTTGTAAACAAAAGATTCTCTTATAAATGTCTAAATATGTAGGTCCCCATAAATTGTCGACGTCGACTACATAAGAAATAGATATTTTATAAACTTAGGTACCCCATTAATTTCTTAATATAACGTGTAGATGATAAATGCTGTATAATTGGAAAATTGTTGAAGATATTGAAATATCACAATTCAATTTCATTTTATGGCAATTAGGTCGGCAACCGGTAACGCAGACTGCTAGATACACATTCAGGTGCATAGGTTGAGTACTTACCTCCGAAGAACTTCAGCGTTTGTATTAATTGCGCTGCTCCAGAACATGAGACGAACTAAAAACAAAAACAAATCATCATTTGCAGTGACTCCAAATATTTAATTTAAGCCATAAAATCTTTTTTTACAAAGATATCGAAATTTTTTCTGCACATTTATTCACCTTCAGAATTTATTGAATGCAGTCTGTGATCTTTGTTTAATCTTGATATAGCGAAAATCTTGTCAACTTTTTATATTAATTTTTCATATACATACATACACACTTAGCGGTGAAATAAGCCATTAGAAATTAGTGTCGAAGATGTCAGATGCTCGCCAAGAGGTCTTACAGCTAAAACCAAAGCAAGAAAATCAATCAATGAATCAACTAAGCAAAATGATTACGAATTGTCTGAAGTAAGAAATTTAGTAAAAGGGGACCTCCTACCTGAGTTACCAACAGAGGGGGATACTCTCAAGAATTCAAATTGTTGTTTTTAGACAGTACTTAATGTCTAGGCTAAATATTTCCTGAAAGTAATCTTTATTTGAATGCTTGATCTGTATATCAACCACCTATTTTAATCTTGCATTTCAAAAAAGTAGGTCAACATTTCTGTGATAATACAAGTTGTTTTAGAAAATGGACTCGAAATAAAAAAAAGAAGTTGTGTCAACAAGAAGAAAATATTTTTGACTATTCAGGGTTAGCTAAACATGTTTTGGGGTATTTTATGTTTAATTTTAATAAATAATGTTTATTTGGGACACCCTGTATATTCTATAATATTTTTATGGCATAGAACTAGGCGAATGGTATAGTATGAACAACTTAGGAGCTATATATCTAAGAGCGTTCGTGTGATAATTGTGGTATATTGACAAAAAGACATCACATTTTAAATCACATTTTCCGATAAAACCTGAAATTATTTTTGGTTTTTCAGATTTTATATGTTGGGGGGGGTGGGGTAACACTTCACGGTATTGGACGTGATACAAATCACCATGTCGGGTTAAATGCCTGCCGATACCTGAATTAATTAGATTAATAATGAAATATGAAGAAAATAGAAATAGAATATAGAAAACAGATCTTTGAGTCAAATTTAGCCAGCCAGAATTCTACAGACTAATTTTGATTCTGATATATACATGAAATTTGAAGTCTTTGAAGGCTTTTCCTTTTTTCTCTGTTTTTCTCTCTGGCCAGTAAACTGTTGCATAGTAACCGGTTTGGGAGTATTCTTATAATTGAGACTGCCACAAACTTGAGTTTTATATCTTTGCTTAATGCTTTGCTTTATGAAAATATAGTTATTTGAGTTTATAATTTGATTTTTCCAATATTATATTAATATGGTTATTAAACCGCAAACTAGAATAAATAAGATGACCCAAATTATTATAAGATTGTGATGACAATATTTTTTATTCATTTAAAAATATGTTCACCGTGTGTTTCGCAAACTTAGTAGCCGTAGGTAACAAAACTAACATCGTAAAATGACACTTTTCACACGCTAAAACTGTGCATAATTGCGCTGCGCTCCGCTCGTGCCAATTAAACTTGTTACTCAAATGTCGTTCACCCTACTCGTTGCAAAATATACTATTTTTAGTTGAAAATGGCAGCTTTGTTATCAGCTCTTATCAGCCTTTCAGGAATATCAGTTACGGGTTGAGGAGAGATCGAATGTTTTCGGTCACAGACGTCAGACGTCTGCTAATATGTTGATAAAATTCTTTAGACACTAGTTCTTCTGCAAATGGCGATTATTAAGTTTGTTGCATAATATAATATTTTTCTTGTGTCTCCAGGATTTATGCTACTTCTAAGACCGAGATAGTTGAAAGGGATTTCAAGTTACCAGCAAAGATCATTGTTTCTAGGTTCTAAATCGCTTTAATTGGTTATTTGTTTTGGTACCACTTATATATTATATATTTTTGTATATTTCATTTTTATATATCTCCTTGAAATAATTAACATTGAAAGTTAACCCACTTGATTTTATATGAGACTTAACAATATTTTGCTTCCACCTCCTGGTTTGTGGCCCAAGATGGTGACTTCTCTTATGCTCATAGTGGGATATTGTTTTCTTATATTGCAAGTAAGTTGAACCTATAGTCCTACAGTTTACTGCAAGTAGCTACTAGATATTGCAGGAACTTATAAAGCAACTATATGTTTTTTTGGGAAGGCGCCTGTTTAAGGTTAACTTAAGTGTATTGGAAAAGTGGTTTAAAAATAAAATGGCGCAAGGTACAGGTTGGTGGGTATAATGCATCAGCGGATAATCATTTACCTTTCCTATGAAAATATCAATGCCGCGCACAGGCGAATTTGATGAAAATGCTCAATATTATTTATCTTAAAAAAATATATAAAAATGATGAATAATGAATTTATTCAAGAAAAGTATAAATTTTAATGACAATACAGTACTTTACACTATTATTCCGCTGCACGTAAAAATATACAGTGTGGTCGAAAAGTCGTACCTAAATTAAATACTGATTAATATTATTTTTTTTTAGAATGACTTTAGAACATTTTTAATTCAGTTTCTTATTTGTTCACATTTCTACGTAATTCATTTATTTTTCAGTGATAGTTATCAAAACTTATTTTAACAACACCAACAATATGTATTATTGAAGAAAAACATAAAACAGTTCTAATTTTAACCTTGAATTATGATAATGTATATGTAATTAAGAAAATAATATTACAAGAAGATAATTATAAATATTTTAGAGAAAAGTGAGTATTAAGAATTTCGCAAATATAATCTTATCATTTATGGCAATAAACAAGCAGAACTTTTTATGACAAGTCTTTTTATGGACTATTGAAATTTGTACAGTTGCGTCTACGAAAATCTAGTACAAAAACATATCTCATAATTCCTGGTCTATTATAAAAAAAATCTTATTAGATACCTAATAACTTTCTGTCACAAATTTTTGAAATGACACAGGGCAAACACAGGTTTTAGACTGTCATGTATGCTATATGTCATCCATTAGTCAAAAAACACTTAATAGTCTAGGATATAAATATTTCTTCTCAAAAAGCTGTAAATCTGGCAACATTGCCATTAGCATTTTTGAATTTTGCATGTTCAAAAACCCTACAATAGTAAATTTTACCAAAATTAAAAATATATACCAGCACTGACAGCACTTCTAAAAAAAATAGATACCCATTAAGATCGCAAATTATCGCATAAATAAGAAAATATGTCTTTTTAAGGACATATTAAATAAGAGTTCTATGCTGATTTGAAGATGGGGAAACGCGGGGTAATGTACTTTTTGTCCAAAGACAAAAAGTACATTACCATGAATACATCATGAAACTTGAAAGTTTATTAATCTGTATTCATTTAATCAGAGTGCATCAGTGTGTATTTAACCATTTTTTCGAAAGTTGGTGATTGAAAAATAATAAAATTATAGTATGGATCCTATTGCTAGTGCTAATTTCCATAAACGTTTGTTTCAGATCGCTTACACTGAATCCGAAATGAAGGCAGTTCGCGAAGACCTCAAGAAAGCGCAGAATTGCCTCCACATACAAACGAAAATGTGCCGTCAGTTGGTGGCCGAATACACCAGGAAACTGCAAGACAAAGAACGCCTCTTCCAAACCGAGAAAGCGCTGCGCGATACGCAATTGGCCAAAGTACTGAAAGCGCTGTTGATCTTCGAAGCCCGGCTTAAGCAGGAACAGAAATTCATCAGTCATCAGCTGAGCGAGAAAGATTACATCATCAAAACTCAGAGGAACGACATTAAGACACTGCTACAAAGTCAGTATTGTAAAAACTGCAATCAGTATTACACCCCTAGTCCTGCTCTGGAAAGTTTGGATAGTAGTTCCGAATACGTAGCCATAGAACACGATTATCAGAGTTCGGCATTTGAATCTTTAGATAGTAGCAGCGAAACTTATGCCACTTTATCTGACAGGGGGTATAACAAGAACATTTTGGATGACAAGAAATACACGAAAAATAAGAAAAACAATCCGCTCCATCCATATTTTGAAGTTCAAAAAGTTAGGAACGAAAGTCCTTTGTCAAACGAGGATAATACTAGCGCCGATTATGACAATTTAGACTCTCTACCACCAGAAAGCATCAGCGACAAAATTAGCATTGTATCCGAAAACATTGAATCGATTTTGAGCAAGAATGCGAGCACCGACTCTGAGTCAAGTTTCAATTTGTCGTCGTCTGAATGCGACAAAACGGTTATCAATGCAAGATTTGATGAAAAAGAGACGCCAAGACTCGAACATAATCAGTCAAATGACAAGACTGGAGAAACACCTGCGAATGAAGAAAAAAAACTGACTGAAACAATACCTGTCTTTGAGGGAGGAGGTGATGGAAATGAAAACTGGTACGCAAGTGCCAGCGATCAGGAAGATGAAGAGCAGCGAGATGTATATAGAAATAATCCAGTTCTGGAATGCGTCAATCAAATATTATTACAAAACATTAACGATTCGCTAAGTTCTCCACCGAAAACACCTAACATTGAACGAAAGTCTGTAAAAAATAATAAAAGAGTGAAATTTAGTGACGAGGAGGAAAAAATCCTTACGGAAGAAAATATAAAAAATAGCCAACATAGTCACAACTACTACGAGACGCCTATTCAGAAACCTCCGAACTACTACGAAACTCCCCAAAGTATATACAGTAACGACTATGAACAAATAATGAGCCAGTGTTCCGATTCATTTTCCGAACAAGTTCATCAAGAACAACTTGGTAATGTTTCTCTGGATACAAAAATAAGCCACTATTATGTGGAATTGGAAGGTCAATGTGAGAAAGATCGACAAGAGGATAAAGCAATAGTTCGCAAAGCTAAAATTCTCAGAACACCCCCTGCCTTACCTCCAAAACCAGCAAATTTGGTATCTAAGTACAAAATCCAACATTTACCCAAGAAGTTACCTGCTGAGAAGAATACTGCATTTGAATACGAACCAGACTACTGTTCAATTTCGGAACTTAATCTTCCTCAAAAGAAGAACATTTCCGTCAAAAAAATTAGCGTGGTTGCAGAGATCAACGCGCCAACCTCGCTCGATGTAATGGCGAAAATCAATGCGCCTTCGCCAGTCGGCAAGAAAGTCGATTTGGCCAACTTCAATGATAGTCCGAGTTTGGTGGTTAAAAAGTGTGTGCAGAAATTCAACATTCAAGTCGCTAAACAGTCACCAGTAAAAAAAGAGACCGGTACCGCTCCTAAGGTCATTCAAAAAAAGCAGGACACTGAAATTCCAAAACTACCGCAAGTATCGGAAATAATCATACCAGATGAAAGTGAGGACCAAAAAAGTGAAGAACGAATTTCCCAGGACAATTACGTTAAAAACAATACCCAAATTTTGAAATCTAAGGCACGAGAAAGTAGAAAACCTATACTGATGGGTACCTCTATCTCCAACTTAATCAGTGGCTTAAATAGTCACCAGATTTTATCGGACATCAAAAAGAAACCTGGTAAAATAGACAAAAAAATGTTTGCCAGTTTTGAAAATGTGCAAAATTTGGACAAACATTTTTCTACTCTACCAGATACGCCGGACACACCAAAATTTGAAAATTTCGATTTAAGTCAAAATTTTGAGGAGTTTAAATTAGACGATTGCGAAATTGAAGAGTATAATGTTGAGGAGGGGCTGAATGAAAAGGAAACGGAGGAGTTGAAAAGTGTAGAAGGGCAGGTCACCTCCAAAAGGGTAACATCTGGCCCCAACAACGATGCTTCGACCAGAGTGAAGCTTGTTCGCGCCACCCCCGACAATCTTGTGCCTCCTCTGAACATGAGTTCAGTAGAGGAATTAAAGAAACAATTAGAAATTCACAGAGGGCAAGCTTTACCAGTCGCCAAACAGAAAACAAAGGGATACAATTCGGAACCCACTTACGAGCATTTCTTGGAATGTACTGGTTTGAGTTCGAAATCTATACTTACCCCTACTAGAATGTTGAGTAATCACAAGAGTGTACTGAAACCCAAAGATGTTAAGTTAAGATCCAGAGTAAAGGCTAATAACATTTTTGAAAGATATAGTGGTACAACAGTGAAGTACTGGTCTGAACCATTTGTATAATCTATTATAGTAGGTACATTTTTCTGTAAGGATTCCCAGGTCTCCAATAGCCAAGTAATAAAAAATAAGGAATTAAAAAAAATCTTGTTTTAAAATTAAGTTGCCACCAAAATTACACAATATGTTAATAAGTTGGGTTGTCGAGTTCCCAGATAAAATAGACATAATATTGAGTTATTATATTTTTGCACATTTTTGAAACTGTATTTCATTTTCTAGATAACATTTTAATTTACTTCTTAAGGTCAACTTAATCGCTGTTATTATAACATAATCTATGCGAAAAATGTTATTTTGTCGGAGAAAACTTACATAGAATTCGAGTCACTTTTCTTGTAATGCGTTCGTGTTTTAGTGTATTTAATTTTAAATTTATATCGTCTAGTCTTTTTGCTAGATCTTTTTATTTATTTTGTTTAGCTTGATTTACCTGTAATAATTTGGAAAAGTCTATTTAAGTTCCTGTAGCTTTAGTTAACAGAAATTTTGTTTTGTTTCCATTGTAAAACTATAAACAATAACAATATTCACTCCCGTTTATAATGTCTTATTAACACGTTAGGAACCTACATAATAGTTGTTATGCCTGTTAAATAATTTTTAACCTAGTTTAAATGTTTGTTTGTAATAAATATATTTATTCTTTTCTTTTTGTTACTTGTTTATGTACACCATTCTTCATTGAGAAAAAATTACTACTTACAGAGAGTTTTTCTTTGAAAAACAGATTTTTGTGATAATTAGTTACTTTTTCCCTGCACTTAACTAAGGAACATTGCTACAAATTGCAAAACGGCCTGAAGTACAATTAAAAAATATAACACAACAGCAAAATCAGCTTGGTAGATTAAACTCGTCTAAACATAATTATTTTATGTCATCCATCACATAACATTTCTAAATACTATAGGCAACTTTTTAGCACTCCAACTTAAAATCATTTGCATGCTCAAAAAGCGCTCATTTGACGTTATTTTACAAAAAACATAATGCTCCCTTAGAAATCCCTAATTCGGGAATCGGAAAATTAAAAGTATCCTTTAATTAAACAATTGACCATTTTGAGGACACAACAAAACACCATATACAATCAAGCATAATGTTTCAAAGAAAATTCCACAGGCTACTGTAATACTTTTTACAAAACTTCTGGATTCCTCCTGCGTCGGTTTTTGCTGAGTCGAAATTGCTGACGTTTCGGCAATCATCCTGTTGGCTTCTTCAGAGCTTGACTGAAACTGGCTCGTATTTTACTCTGTACCTGCTTATATATTGTTTGAGGGGGGAGCAAATGAGGCCATAAACGCCGTCTTGGATGACTGATTCCCATATTGGTGACAGGAAGAGACTTGAGTCAGTTAGGTTGTTTATAGATTTCTATATACTCTCGGATTTTTCGTTGGTAGAAAAACTGATTACATGCAAGAATTTTAGTTTTATCGAATAACATTTTGTCCGGTTTCATGAGTGTGTTCGGCAACAGCCGATGAGTTTATTTGTCTTAGTCGTAAGGCTCTTTCGTGTTCTTTGAAATCTATAAACAACCTATCAATCTTAACCGCGACTCAGGTCTCTACCTGTCACCAATTTGGGAATCAGTCATCCGAGGCGGTGTTGGCCCTCATTAGCGCCCCCCTCAAACAATATATAAGCAGGTACAGAGTAAAATACGAGCCAGTTTCAGTCAAGCTCTGAAGAAGCCAACAGGATGATTGGCGAAACGTCAGCAATTTCGACTCAGCAAAAACCGACGCAGGAGGAATCCAGTAGTTTTGTAAAAAGTACCATCAAACTTAATATTAGATATTTGAAGTTGTTTGGTCAATATTTATAACGTGCAGGTACGTGTATCTACGGAAACTGGCAGGATGTTAAAATACCTACTTTTTAATATTCTTAGTTGTTTCAATGCATCACTGATAAAAGCCGGCTGTTATTTACGCTGAAAAGTAGTCAGTAAACACTTTCTTGACAGTGTGCGAAATTCCACAAAGAATTTTCAATGTTACCGCGCCATCTAGCGGGAAGTAGATCAAACAAAAAGTAATTCTTTCTGTCTAATTCTTTTACAATGGCCTAGATGGCACTATATACAACACTTTATGGTGTCGTAGCTGGTTTGCGAACATTGAACTTAAAGGGTTGTGAAAGTTGACTATCATGAATCTTTCGCGAAACTTTTTTCGATGAGGGAAAAATAACAGTTTTTGTTTTCGACTAAATGCCTCTACATTTTGTAATAAAAAATGCCGAACATTTTGGTGCTGATCTCCAATATTTTTTTCAATCGGATAAATAGTTTTCGAGAAAAGTCAGACTTTAATTTTCCAATAAACCTTTTTGTTTGGGATTTATTTTTTGCAATTGTGCTTAAAATAATCTAAATGTAATTGCGAAACGGAAAATTGTAACCAAAATGCAAGGTTTTCAAAAAGTTTACTTTTGAATTTTTAGATTTTACGACGTACGTGTTTTAGTAACGTTTATAATACCTTAAAGTTTTTTAAATAATCTGAATTTTCTGAAAATATTAAACTTTAATTTCTTATTCAAGCGAAATCTACAAGTAGGACAAGGTAATCGAAGGTGGGATAAAATATAAAGTGCGTCGCACTTAAAATTGCATACCCCTGTAAAATCTTTGTTTATGATTCGATTTTGACGGCTAGATTTCTCAAAAATGCACTAAAATCTTGTTCTGCTTATTACTTCAATCGTTTCCGATTTTCATTATTAATTTCTTAAAATCTTAAGATCTTAAAATCACACCCAAAGCAATGGTTATTTTGCAAGATAAACATTTGTTTTTTTAAACATTAAAAGCTTTAGTCATGAATCTACTTCCCGATTTTCCGCTTTAAAAAAACTGTGTCAGTTGGTCATGATTTTAGTCGATGCTATATGAAAAAACCGTTTCAGTGCCTCTTAGTAACATCAATCCCACAAAAAAAAAGAATTATCAAAATTTTAGCCATAAACAAAAATTTCCACAGAATTAGTGCGTAAGCATAGTTCAGCTTGAATGAATGAATAAGAATTTTTATTCTTAAATAAATCCTAAATAGGTCTTCTGCATATTTGGCATCAAAAATGACTTTTGCGTTTTTAACAGAGCTTTGCAAAAAAAAATTATCAAAACAAAACGTAAATAAACACCCTGTATAGAAATTAGTTTATTTGGTTTCTAATAAGAATTCGTTGTCAATTGATTCATTAAGAAATCCCGAATAGTATTTTCCTCTCCTTCCTTTTTTTAAATAGTCCCTGGTGGCCGTGACAACAAAAAACATATCAAAAGGGAACCCGAAATAAAGATTCTACTACCGTGTACAGATACAAAGAAAAAATTAAGTATAACTAGTGTAAATGTAAATGTATGACTGTAGGCTCAAAACCCAAAGCATAATCGCTGTCTTCATGTAAACATTAAAGCACAAAGACTAAAATGGAAAAGAAGAGGAGAGAAAGTTACTTTTAGGTTTTGTCATATAACAATTCTAATGAAAACGATGCAACGATTTCGATTACGACTATTCTCAACTTGGAAATAATATCGTTCTTGCATGAAAGAAGCAAGGAAGCAAGTAAAATTATAAAACAGTGTTATTAAGTATGGAGTTGGTATTGTTGTCTGTACAGATATAATAGCTAGCGTTACCATTGGCATTCGTTGTTTCGCAGCTTGCCTTGGGGGTATTTTGATTTTTCGTTTTGTGATTTTTGGAATTGTTGGATTTGTGGAAAACTCTTTTTGTGTTAAGTGGATTTATTCATTCATTCAGTATTCATCATATCATTATCTGTTCGTTCTTTGATCCTGGTTGTCTGAATTTTGTGAAGATGCCATCTAGTGGGCGGTTTTTTAATTGAACCGGTGAGTTCGAAAATCGTACAAGTCCAAAATTTGACATTTTAAAATAAGATAGTCATTTTGTTTAAAATTTGTATCTTCATCAATTGAGCGTAAAAACATACATCAGTCAGGTACATAGCCGTTAAGGTAGCACAACTGATTGCACTCGTAGAATGAGAAGAAAAACCATACATGTCCGTGACTTGGGCAGAACCGAAATCAAACAATGGTTCGTTTCCTCTTAGCATTACAGACAACTAAGAGGTTCAACAAAATCTATCTCTACTTTCGAGTAAGACTACATTCATTCCTGCCCTGCGACCGAGATTTCGGATGTGCAAAACGGAATTTCAGAAAACAAATTTACACTCCAGAAGAATATGAGAATTTAATATTGACTTCCAGAAAAAGGCAACCGTTTACTGCTAAGCGAATCCGACACGCCGACATTACTGATTTTAAAAACTGTTGGCCTACTATTTACAAAAAACGTGTAGCACTCGAGGCACCGGCTCCAATAAGGAACCGTTTGCTGTAATGAAGATTAAAAAAATCAACATATATTCATTAGTTTTTTTATATAGGGGGTTGAGTTAAAAAACCGTACAAGTCCATTCCCTCTTTCTATTCGTAGTGCATTTTATTTTTTGAAAAACTACTATTAAAAATACATTGCAAACCACGAGACCTAAAACTTTGCTAGCCGAAATCATATGTCGAATAGTTTCAATGTTAAAAGGTTTTTACTGATTTTCTGGAAACGCTGATTTTGAACTCGCACGATTTTCGAACTCGCTCATTCAATTATTTTACTTCTCGCCAGGATACCAGAGGCGTTGCCAGTTCTTGCCGAAAACACTTCGGAGCGCGAGCATTGAAGATGCTAAGTGAGATCTTGGTGAAACGTCTGCAGTCGGATGCAGGTTTCCAGTAGGAGCTCAGCAAACGAACCGATGATATCCCTGAATATATTGTTAACACATTTTTCCATCCGTGAATCAATACGTGAAAAAAAAAACTCGAGAAATGAACATTTTTCTAATGAATGGTACTGAAGGGGGGAACTAGAAGGGACTCATACAGAGCGCAAGTGTTAGAACAGTGCGGAGTACCCAACAACAACAATCACACTGCAGCAACTGGTAAGATAGATAAGCAACATCAAACAAAGGAAGCTTTTATCTTCAGCGAAGAAGACCAGCGACCAGAGCTAGCAGAGCTAAGAACTATGTTTCAAGAAATCCATCAAAGGTTCGAAGGGGTAGCAATTGATGCAAGACCAGTAATACCGAGATGCAAGATGGGTAACGAGTCAAAAGCCATGGTGACGGCAATGAACATGGCATTGGCCGGAATCTTTGAACAGTGCGGAGATCTTGAGGGGCTTTGTCATAGTGGTATTTACACCAGCCCGCAACCACCGTGGGAGAAAAGACTAGAAACAAGAATCACTTGTTACCGGAAAGCGATTGGTCTCCTTAAACATTACCTGAATAAGCGAGAGTGAGCAAAAAAGCTCGAAAGAAAATGAAAACATATGCCAATTTGGCCAAAATAAAGTTCACGCAACCTAACCACCGGCAGGCTATTAAAAAACACGTAGAAATATTGACACAAAAAATAGCAGCTTTGGGTAATCGTCTAAGAAGGTACCACACTATGACACCATGTTTCAACGAAAACCGTCTTTTCGTCAAAGGTTATTCCACCGCAGTCTTGAAGAAGAGAAGAAGCAAAATGGAGAGCCATCTTCGGAGGTCCAAATGGACAAATAT